GAAAGCAAAGAGAGCTCGTATTGTGCACAATGATTTGGATAGGTATCTTTCGGATCCTAATGAAGGGGAAGAAGAGGCAAACTTTGATATATTGAATCGGTGGAGGGTGAATGGGCTTTCTAAGTATCCTATTTTGGCACAAGTTGCAAAAGAGATTTTAGCTATTCCTGTATCAACCATTGCTTCGGAATCCTCCTTTGGCACAAGTGGAAGAATAATTTATTCATATCGTAGTTCTTTGAGTCCAAAAATGGTGGAGGCTTTGATATGTACACAAAATTGGCTTAGGTCAATTCATGTAGCATTGCGTCATGAGCCAACCATTGAAGAGATTGAGTTTTGTGAAGAAGTTGAGAAAGGTAAATTTACTTATTGCATTTGGTTTTGTTAGACTATTTTAATTAGATGCTAAGTTGCATGCTTGCTTTACATTATGTTGTTTCTTTTTTTATTTGTATGTAGAAATGACAAGTGGAAGCTCAAATAAAGGTGATATGTTGCCTCCTAGGCTGCCTAAGCGTTAAGCTTGAGCTTGAGGACTTGGAAGATTTTATTTGTGCAAGACATGAAGTGATGAAACCTTGAAGGTTGTGTGATGTTTATTTTAAATTTGGACTTTTTAAAGACTTAAACTTTGATGTTTATTTAAGTTTGGACTTTGGAAATTGGAATACTTGGATTCTCATCACGGTTTTGTTGTTGTAAACATGTTCTTTCCCGAAGTTGGTGGACCGTGGAGCAACTTTGGCATATCTTTTCTTTGAATGTGAACTTTTATATTTCCAATTTTTTTTATTTTTTTGAGAGAAAAAAAAAAAACCGAAACCAAACCGAAAAAAATTGAACCGAACCAAACCGAACCGAAATTTCGGTTCAGTTTCGGTTTTGGGTAAAAACCGAACCGCTGGGAATCGAACCCAGCCCTAGTAATCGTATTTGCTTCGGTAGATATGCTTTTCAAGCGCTTGAACCCGCTTGGATCACATCTAGACAAATAGAAGCAGCGCAGCGTGCATTTCGTGCAGATGGTTTTGTCACGTCAGTCCACCTTTTCGGGAGCCGGGAAGACTCATAAAGGTATTTCAACCTCTCTCTAACCGCATTAGTCGAACTTAGAACGTACCATGTGGAACACGAACTTGAAATTCGTCCATAACCACTAGACCACTTTGTAGTGGTTCTTTACCAAGATTTCTAACTTTGCGCAAGGGAACCAGCTTGGTGAAAACATTTACCAAATATTTTCCCTTTAATTTTCCTTTGACTCAACAACCACTACAAGAATACTTGACTTTTACAATATTATTTAGTTGATTAAATATTGAATTATGTTGATATTTCATATAAATTATTTAACAAAACATAATGGCACATCTAGTAGTATTTATCTTCATTTGTAAGTGAGATTTTAGGTTTAATTATTCTCAAATGAGAATTTAAACTACATTATTGCTAGCTTGTTGTGAGCTTAAGCCCACTTCCTCTCTCTTAATATAAATAATATCGTTTGTTCCAAAACATAACGGCACGTCTAATTAATATTATGATCCCACTTAGATGCTTTAGCCTTTAGAGGAACAATTTAAAGAAGATATTTGCCAAGTCACTTTCGAGAAGTTGGAAACATATTTTGCGAAAAAATAATATTAGAGAGATCATTTATTTAAATAATATAACGTGATTATTGATGATTTGAATTAACATATTAATTTCTTATTGATGACACTTTCATTTTCTTCATTTTGAGTTAGGAGTCTATTAAAACTTAATGACGATGATTTGACACTTTAGACATCTTCCAACGAACGTGTCGCTAGTAATCGCCGGTCAATCATACGTCGGTAAATGCGTTTCCGGGCGGTGTACACAGTGGCCGTCAAACTATGTAATATTTATTGCACCGAAAAATCAGCTCAACGGGCGTTGTACACAGTGCCCGTCATAACATGTAATATTTATTGCACCGAAAAATTAGTGCCACACATAGAGGTCCCAGTTTACTGACGTGGCAATCCACCATTGGCTGCATGTGAAAGATATCTGACTTGTCTGCCAGAATCTACACAACCAGACAAATCCTCTTCAAAAGTAGACGGCGTGGCATTCTGTCATCCCCTCCCTAAATCTGTCAAAATCCAAAAAATCCAACTCATTATCCACAAAAAATCTCAGCCCTCCATTCCCCCAATCCAACGGCCACTTCCCCCACTTATATCCCAAACCGTATCCCCCAAATACATAAAAATAAGAAAGTAAATCACACTCTTGCCACTCTCACCCTCCTCTCCACCTCCTCTGCTACAGCTGCTCCGACCAAGAAAATGACCTCCATCGCCCTGAAATCCTTCATCGGCCTCCGCCAAACCGCCGCGGAGAAAACCCATTTCACAATGCAAGCAAAACCCATTTCTCCGAACTCCTCAAACCGCCGAACCCTCCAAGTCAAAGCCGCCAAGACCAGCCCAAAAGTCACTGGTCGAAACCTCCGCGTCGCCGTCATAGGCGGCGGACCCGCCGGCGGTGCGGCCGCAGAAACTCTAGCCAAGGGCGGCGTCGAGACATTCCTCATCGAGCGGAAGATGGACAACTGCAAGCCCTGCGGCGGGGCCATCCCGCTCTGCATGGTGGGCGAGTTCGACCTCCCGCTAGACATCATCGACCGCCGCGTCACCAAGATGAAGATGATATCTCCGTCGAACGTGGCGGTGGACATCGGGCAGACCCTGAAGCCGCACGAGTACATTGGGATGGTGAGGCGGGAGGTGCTGGACCAGTACCTGAGGAACAGGGCGAGTGAGAACGGCGCGACGGTGATAAATGGGTTGTTTTTGAAGATGGATAAGCCGGGAGATGGGGAGGCGCCGTACGTCCTGCATTACACGGAGTACGACGGGAAGGCCGGCGGCGCCGGCGTGAAGAAGACGATGGAGGTTGATGCGGTGATTGGAGCTGATGGGGCGAATTCCAGAGTGGCTAAGAGCATTGATGCTGGTGATTATGAGTATGCTATTGCCTTCCAGGTAATTAATTATGTACTTGCTTTGTTTTTTCTCCTTTTAGGAAATTACGATATTCTAAACTACTCTAATCTCGAATTCGGTCGAAGGGGAACTCAAACTAGTGCAATGGGCCCGACAAACTGGTCTAACTCACATCTGCGTTGAAAATTGCTACTTAATTAATTATTTGCAGTCAATTGTTGTGCTTTGTGTTTGAAATCACGATCAATTTGCAGAATTTGGTGTTTTGTCAATGAACTAGGCTCAGTGCATGTGATTTGAAGTTGTTAATTAACATTATGTCAGTAATTTTGATGAACTGTAAGAGAATTATCAATGAATTACTCGAAATTGAGATATAGTTTTCAGGTATGCATTGGTCATCAGTCGTGAAAAGGTGGCTACCATAGAAATTTTTGTGCTAATAACACGCCATCCGCTTTGAAACCTGAAATTTTCTCGAATTTTATGAACGTGCTCTTGTGTATGTTGTTAAATGATTACCAAATTCAAAGTTTATGGAGTAAAATTAGATGTTGATTTGGTTCAATGTTTGGTTCGTTCTTATGATTTGGTTCAATGTCGTGAAAATGTGGCTACCATAGGAAATTTTGTGCTAATAACACTTGAACCGCTTTGAAACCTGAAATTTTCTCGAATTTTATGACCATGCTCATGTGTATGTTGTTAAATGATTACCAAATTCAAAGTTCATGGAGTAGCATTAGATGTTGATTTGGTTCAATGTTTGGTTCGTTCTTATTAAATTCTTGGTTTCGGCCTTTTCAGGAGAGAATCAAAATCCCCGACGACAAGATGGTGTACTATGAAAACCTCGCTGAGATGTATGTCGGCGATGATGTCTCACCAGACTTTTACGGGTGGGTGTTCCCGAAATGTGACCATGTAGCAGTTGGTACCGGCACTGTGACACACAAAGGAGACATCAAGAAATTCCAACTAGCAACAAGAAACAGAGCCAAGGACAAGATTCTAGGCGGCAAAATTCTCCGGGTGGAGGCGCATCCAATTCCAGAACACCCCCGGCCACGAAGGTTGGCGGGCAGAGTAGCACTCGTTGGTGATGCAGCAGGGTACGTAACAAAGTGTTCTGGTGAAGGCATCTACTTTGCAGCAAAGAGTGGCAGGATGTGTGCCGAGGCGATAGTTGAGGGGTCGGAGAATGGGAAGAGGATGGTGAATGAGGCGGACTTGAGGACGTACTTGGAGAAGTGGGACAAGACCTATTGGCCTACTTACAAGGTGTTGGATGTGTTGCAGAAGGTGTTCTATAGGTCGAACCCCGCGAGGGAAGCGTTCGTGGAGATGTGTGCGGATGAGTACGTGCAGAAGATGACGTTCGATAGCTACTTGTACAAGAGGGTGGTGCCGGGGAATCCGTGGGAGGATTTGAAGTTGGCTGTGAATACCATTGGGAGCTTGGTTAGGGCTAATGCACTCAGGAGGGAGATGGAGAAAATTACTGTATGAAAGGAGGAAGCCTTGTTGTTTGTGTAATTTTTTGTTTTTCCTCATGTAACGAGGAATGAACTCTTTGAATTCAACAGATTTGAGTGGAAATTCCAAGTTTGTGTAATGAGATCTAGCATATATAAATTTCTATGTCCGTCATTGTTTTAGAATCGTTGTAAAATTTCTCCTTCAAAATATCATTGTAATAGTATCTTAAACTAATAATACGTTGTCCTGTGTTGAAAATTCTACACGTAAAAATATGTTAATGGTTTGAATTACCGCCATAGTGACGGTTGGAGTATAAATGATCCTTCTACTTGTGGCAAAGAGCTAATTTTCGCCAACGAAGGTTGGTTGAGTATTTCCTATTTTATTCTAATAATCGCATCCGTTGGAACTTGGAAGGAATCAGAGATTAACGGCAGGATGAAGCGAACAAAAAAGGAGAGAGTCGCTGTGCACTGGCCCACTGTATAGTCAAACACAAATAAAAAATTGGAAAAAATGGTGTGGAACGTGGATTCATCCGAGGCCCATTGGCGGAGCTTCTCACGAACTCAATAAGCCAAAACCCCCAAAAGGTCCAAAAACCCACTCTCTCTCCTCTTGTATTCTCTCTCTAAATCCCTCCTTTTGCCATTTCGCGTCTCCGTGGCTCTCTGGTTGTTGGCGTTCATCTTCCTCAAGGTATGAACTTTTCAACTCTGTTTCTGAAGATTTAATTTGTTTTTTTGTTTATTTCGTACACTCACGGATCTATGAGCAATAGTTTCAGATCTAATGGGTTTTTTTGGAGTTTTCCCAGCTGTGTAGTTCTTCACTTCTTTTGCTTCTGAATCTGAGCAATGGATTGAAATCTTTTATTTTTTATTTTTTATTGTTTTAGACATAACCCAGAATCTATCTTTTCATTTGGTGAATTGGGTTGCATTTCAACGGAATTCGGATGTCAAATTTTTATGCTTTTTATGTGTTTTGAATTCAAGTTTTTGAGTTCGATTTGGATTTCTGCGTGCTACAGAGCGTGAGAGATGGCAGCAACATCAGCAGCTGCCTTTTCCGTCGGAACTAATTGTTCCCTCGGCCACAAAGCGGCGGCGTTTCAGCAGTCAAAGCCTTGTGCTTTGAGGTTCAACTCCCAAAACCCTCTCAAGAGCTCTTTCAATGGGCTCAAGGCAACCCCATCTTTCAATTGTGAAACCGAGACCTCGTTCTCCGGCAAAGAAACTGCATCGGCTCTTCGAGCTTCTTTCGCTCGAAAAGCCCACAAGGAAGCGCTGGTGGTTCAGTCTCAGTTCCAGCCCCAGGCCTCGTATAAAGTAGCTGTTCTTGGAGCTGCCGGTGGGATCGGTCAGCCATTGGCTCTTCTGATCAAGATGTCGCCTTTGGTCTCCTCCCTGCATCTTTACGATATTGCTAATGTCAAGGGTGTTGCTGCTGACTTGAGTCACTGCAACACTCCTTCTGAAGTTCTTGATTTCACCGGAGCTGCCGAGTTGCCCAATTCCTTGAAAGGTGTGGATGTGGTGGTCATTCCTGCCGGTGTTCCAAGAAAGCCCGGTATGACCCGCGATGACCTCTTCAACATCAATGCCGGCATTGTGAAGAACTTGATCGAGGCTGTGGCAGATAACTGCCCTGATGCATTCATTCATATTATCAGTAATCCGGTGAACTCCACGGTGCCAATTGCTGCCGAAGTTCTGAAGCAGAAGGGTGTTTATAACCCAAAGAAGCTCTTTGGTGTTTCTACCTTGGATGTTGTGAGGGCGAACACATTTGTTGCTCAGAAGAAGAATCTGAAACTGATTGATGTTGATGTCCCAGTTGTCGGAGGACATGCTGGGATAACTATTCTACCCCTGCTATCCAGGACAAACCCCTCTGTTAGCCTCACTGACGAAGAAGTTGAGCAGCTAACTGTTAGGATCCAAAATGCTGGAACCGAGGTTGTAGAGGCAAAGGCAGGTGCTGGGTCCGCGACATTGTCAATGGCATATGCAGCAGCTCGATTTGTTGAGTCATCTCTGCGTGCACTGGACGGAGATGGGGATGTCTATGAGTGCTCATATGTAGCGTCTGATCTGACCGAGCTTCCATTCTTTGCATCAAGGGTTAAGCTTGGAAGGAATGGAATTGAAGCTTTCATACCGTCTGACCTCCAAGGTTTGACAGAATATGAGCAAAAGGCGTTGGAAGCACTCAAGCCGGAACTGAAAGCCAGCATTGAGAAGGGTATTGCTTTTGCCAACAAGCAGACCGTGACTGCTTAGGTCGCTATTATCAGAAGCTTCTATTACCTCATTCTAATGAATGCTTTACAGATATTTTTTAGCAGATTTAGCAATGCATCAGTACTTTCAGTTTTGTAGAATGAAGTCGGTATCCTTTCAGTGTTCTATGTTGAAGCTATTTTCGGAAGAAATACAGAGTTGCTTCTATTGTTGTAGATTGAAGAATATAAGCCTTCTCTTGCGGGCGGAAACTTGTAGTGACAGTTTTGATATAACTTGGCTGGTCGATCATGAGTTTTTAGGAATATCATGTATTTCTATCTTGCGTGTATGCAAGGGCTAGCTTCTGATGCGAAAATAAATTCGAAGAAAGTGAATTCATACTTTTCAATTGCAATGCTTGTTTTCCTCTTCTACATGCTTTCTTATGTTCGATATTTGAATCAGTAGAAAATTGTTCACAAATGCAGAAAATTGTTCCCTAATGCTCATCTTCTGTAAATCTTCAGTTTTCCTATCAATAGCCATTGCAGGAGCAGCGTCCCTCTCGGAAATGATGAAACCGGGTGCGGTCTCTGATGATTACCTCTCTGTTGTAAACCCCTGAGAGAGCCATTGCAAAATTGTGGCAATCAACACAAATGCGAAGATTCTTGGCCACTCTGATTGGCGTGCCGGGAGTAGTTGACAGGACACCGAAAGCAATAGCCCATGTCTCGCTGTGGTAAGAGGGGATGAGCCCCTTGTCTTCTGCTCCCAAGTTGTGCAATTCAGATGTTACATCTGCAACGTAACCAGCAATCTTCAACTGGCTATTAATCTCACGCAGCGTTTTGTAGATTTCATTCATCCTTCCGCGGATGTGAAACATCATCGACAACAAACTCGTGTGCTACTCCTTTAGTTCAAGCGTGCTACATCCCGGTGTAGTTTGAATTGCTTTTTCCTTCATAAACTTCCTCATTTCTGTTAGCTTCTCCCAGGTTCCAGCTGAAGAGAAAATATTCATCAACAGGACATAATCCCCTGCCTCTTGAGCCTTGAGTTCAATCAAATTGCCTACCACTCGTTCCGCAAGGGAATTATTGCCGTGAATTCTGCAAGCCCCAAGTAAGGTCCTCCATATTGTCGGATCTGGTTTCATGTTCATCGATGTTATGAGCTGATAGGCCTGATCAAGTCGACCAGCACGACCCAAAAGATCAAACATGCGCCCATAGTGATGGATATTAGGCACTACCCCAAACTCTTTGCTCATACGATCGAAAATCATCATCCTTTCATCAACCAAACCGCAATGGCTGCAAGCACAAAGACCCAGTAAAAGTCTGATCATCAGGTAAAACACCCATTTTCTGCATCTCTCCAAACGCTTCAATAGCTTCTCTACCATAACCATTCACCGCCAACCCAGAAATCATCGCACTCCACAAAACCACATTCTTATATTGCATTCCCTCAAACACCCCATACGCCTTATCCAAACTCCAACACCGTGAATACATCAATACAAGAGAGTCATACAAATTTGAAGCACCACCATAACCATGTTCTTCGATGTACTTATGAACCCGTTTGCCAAACTCCAACGCGTTCAAGCTGGCACACGCTTGGAGCACAAGTAAACACGTAACGTCATCAGGCTCACACCTATGAACCTCACTCTGCATAATCTCAAACAAACCCAAGGCCACAGTATCTCTCTTCAGCATTTATCAAACACTTTACACGCTTCATCATGCTTACCACAAGTCGAATACAAGCCCATCAATGCCGTGAGCAAAAGACTATCTGATCGATGCCCATCTCTCAAAATCCTAGCATGCACCTAAATCCCACCCACCAACGACGAAACTCTAATGCAAGACTTGATGACGAAAGACGACGCCATAGAGCCAGCTAAAAGGCCGCGCCGCCGCAAATATCTGAACAGATAAAACCCCTCCGCCGGCGAGTCGCTCTTGGAGTAAGCTCTTATCATTTTGTTGTAGTCAAAAGCCGTCGGCTTTGGTATTTGGTCGAAGAATTGGCGGGAATATGTGATGTTTTTTCATGGGGAAAGAGCGACGGCGAGGGACAAGAACCTTATAAACACATAAGCATTTTTATTCGCCGCAGCGCGAAGGAAGAGCTCGTCAATCTGGGCATATACTTCCGGCCAGAGCTAAATGTTTTTATTATAAACACGTTAAACCCTTATTATAAACAAGTTAAACATTTTATTAAAAAGCTTTTGCCAAATTCTTGAAAATGCTTCCTCAAGAAGAATTTTTCCTTCAGAAAATGCTTCTATAAGCTTGAGACACTTCAAATTATTCTTTCAAACGCAATACAAGGTGCCAAGTATAAGTGTTTGTATCGCGAATGAGACAATATTTCGCGTAATCACTTGACCATATGTCCTGTTCGACCAACTTTGCAAGAGCATTGGAAGTAACTTGCATCACTAATTTCTAATCGTTGATGCTTGTGGATTTTATTGTGAGACCCACACATGTATTTACATTTTATAGTATAAATGCCATTAAAATTTTCGTATAGCATGATGTAAAAATGCCATTATCTCAGTCAATTTATTGAGGAAGAAATTCAAAATTAAATAACTTGTGCTAAAGTCGAATTTTCCCTTTTGTGCAAATTAAGTATTAAAACAGAATATAACATAAATTTGGATTTGGATTTGGATCAACTGTATTCAATTCAGAGCCCCATTGCTCATGAAGTTAAACACTCATAATATATCACTAAAATTAAAATCGAAAAACATGAAGTCTGATGAGGAAAATTATAAAAATAAAAATAAATTAAAATATAAAAAAAACATGAAAAATAAATTAAAAATAAATTAAAAAGAAAATCCAACTGATTAAAATTTAAAATAGAGTGATGCATGCATTGTTATTCGAGGAAAAAGAGTCAGACAATAGAGACTTGATTTCTTCGTCTTCCTCGTTAGCATCCATCGAACTTGTTGGATACTGACTGTTGCTGCAACTAAAAGATGATTGTGATTTTTCCATAACCTTCGTCCCCATGATCTTCCTCTTCTTGTAATTTGCTTTGAAGCATGCCTGCCTTAGACGCTTCGTATTGTCCTCAAGCTGCATATCAGGAGCTTCCTCCAGCAGCTTCTTCTCCATCTCCAGCAACACGATCGCGTTTCGAAGCTTCTCTTCGCCCTCCTCTCCTTCCTTTCCTAACTCCTGCATGCATAAAAACGATATAATCGCTACACATTCATTTTTTTTCGAATCAGACACGAACACGTACAAATATGTAACGCCTATTGACCTGAATGTTTCGGATTAGGGTTTGAAGGCTGGTCAACTTCCGATGAGGCCAACGACGAATGCCCAACTCTCGACACCTTTTCTTCAGAAGAGTTAGCCCTACGTTGAGTTCCTTGGCAGCCTGAGTGATGTAGTAGAAGACTGGAAATGGTCTGAAGACAATTTCCAAAAGGAATGAGAGGTTGCTGCTTTGATGAATTGCTGATGTCTTTTAGAAGACCACCACTAATCATTAGAATTAACTCCAAACAAATTTCTTTTCATTTTTCCCTGCTAATCTAAATCTCGCTTCCCTCGAATCGTTCATGTCCGTAATTCCATTTTCATCATTCTGCAATCGTGCAATAACAAATAATTAACATCTGACTTCAAGAATTTAAAAAAAATTAAAAAAACACTTGCAATAAAAGTTCGAAAAAAGTACCTACTGAACATGTGCAAGTTCGGATTGGTGTCGAAGTGTCAGTAAATAGGATCAATATTCACACAGCTCTCGAGTGAAGGAAGAGGATGATCAGGAAATCTATGATCTTGTACTATTGGCAAATCAAATTGCCAATCGCATGCATACCCCCTAAAATAATTAACATCCACAAGAAATTAAAAAAAATAAAAAAAACACTTAAAAGTAAAACACGATGAAATATATATATGTGTGTGTGTGTGTATGCAAAAGTCCATAATATTCACACACCGGAAATGTGAGGTTGACCTTCACCACGATCCTTGACGACGTCGTACTTGGCCAGCCAACCCATTGGTGAATGACTAGCCATTTGATGAGAGAGAGAGAGAGAGAGAGAGAGAGAGAGAGAGAGAGAGAGAGAGAGAGAGAGAGAGAATGTACAGGAGGATGAGGAAGGAGAAGAGACGAGTAGTGGGTATATATATCGCATGGATAAAAATCCCATGCATGAATATGGAGTGTTTAGGAGTGTTATTCATTCATTGTTCACTGTGCGTGCCTAATTATTACCTAGCGAGAGTTACAAGATGTATTAATGGATCCTCCTAAACACATAATTATTTCTTTTAATTGATTATTAAGAGGGCTTCGTGATGATCATTAGCCTACATGAACGTGCGCCGCCACACCTCCCACCACCACACCAGTTAATTAATTTGATTATTCTTCCTTTTTCTCTTAATTTCTTTCTTGATTTTGCTACTTAACCATACTCTACTCAACTGAAATCATTCTTTGCTTTGTAATTTGTTTGGCTGCAATATAATTACTTAAGGACATAGAAGTGTGCTGCATGATTGCCACGTGTCATCGATTTTACTTCTACAGAAGCTACCTACATATTTGCTTGAAGTTAGTAATCTTGGAACCATAATCTGGGCAGCAGTAGCCGTATCTATATGTTTATGATTATCATTTCCGGTCACGTTTGTTCACCTTTTGGAATTATTACGTCTCTCCTTCGTCATTCGGATCAAATTATTTTTCAATATCCTAATAATTTTCAGGATCATCACCCTTTCATCTGTACAAGTTGAAGGATATATAAGCATAATAAAATTAAAAAAACTTTGGATGCGGTCCTTAGTTATGAATATTTTATGATTGAAATCTTGTTGGTTTTTAATTTTTTATCAAGGTCCCTGAAATTAATGTAAAAATTTATTTCTATGTACGTTACTATATTTTTTAAATTAAAAATTAGAAATTTTAGTTGTTTATATAAATGAGATTTTAAATATAAAAAAACCATAATTTGTGGGATTAAAAATATTAAAATATAAATATACTATTGTGTTTGTGTGTGTGTGTGTGTATAAACATGGGCACATTCATCAAAATTAACCCAAAAAATTATTGTATCAAAACATGGGTACATTCTTCAAAATCACAAAAAAAGAAAGATATTAGGCTTAATAATATTAGTAAATTTCTTCAATTAAACTTGACATGGATACATTTTAAAATCAAGGAAAAAAGAATGTACCCATATAAGTTTAAAATGGATTGGAAAAAAATTGAATAGATTTTATATAAAAAAAGGGTACATTTTACATATAACAAATTGCTATATTTAAGAATGAGTATATTTTAAGATTAAAAAGTTTTACATGAATGGGTACATATAATTAGCATGGGTAC